CCCTATAACCATTTTTGTGTGTCATTGCATTCGAACTTAATTAGAAGAGTCTTTACGTGTCTGTTCCAAGTTGTGTGAATTTTCCTTTTTTGTTGAAGTCTAAGTTGTGTGAAGCTGGGAGCTTTTAGCTTTAGAACTTAAATCATCTAATACTTTCTTTGAGCACTCTGATCAATTTTGTTCTTTTCTTTTCAAAAGAGCCTCTAATCTTCCTCCTTTTTAATAATCCGGTCCAAAAACATTCCAATCTTCTGTCAAGTTTTATTTTCCCTCCAGAAATATATTTAACTCAGTAATTTTTTTTTAAAAAGTTAAGCTTATTACATATTTCTTCTTCTAACCGAAGACATTTAGATTGGTTAAACCAAGGAGAAAGTCATTAATCAGTAATCAGCCATTTTCTCCCTTCCCCTAAAAATCAGCCATACGATATGCTCATTCCATTTGCATTCCCTACAAAAAGAAAGAAACTTCATTACTCTTATTTATATTTCCCTCACACCAAAACCAAAAAAAAACTGCTCAAATCTTCACTCCCATAACCATAGAAGCCCTGTTTTCTGAGATGAACACCCGCGGAGAAATAGGCGAATTCTCTCAAATCTTCAATGGTTTAATGGATCTAATGAGAAGATTCATATTCAGAGTTCTACGCGCGGGTTCAATCCCGAATCACATCTCATTCATCATGGATGGAAACCGGAGATTCGCCAAGAGACACAATCTTAAAGGCCTAGACGCAGGACACAGAGCCGGTTTCATATCCGTTACATGTGTTCTTCAGTACTGCAAAGAGATTGGAGTACCGTACGTCACACTCTACGCTTTTGGTTTCGATAATTTCAAGAGAGAACCTGAAGAAGTCAAGTGTTTGATGGATTTGATGCTGGAGAAAGTCGAGCTCACAATCGATCAAGCTATCTCCGGGAATCTAAAAGGCGTGAGAGTGATCTTCGCGGGTGATTTGAATTCTTTAAACGAGCGTTTTAGAGCCGCGGCACAGAGACTGATGGAAATTACGGAGGAGAATAGAGGTCTGATGATTGTGGTATGCGTTGCTTACTGCACAAGTCACGAGATTGTTCACGCTGTTCGAGAATCTTGTGTGAGGAAGTGTGATGATGGAGATGGTAATGTAGTTTTGGAGTTGAGTGAAATTGAAGAGTATATGTATACATCTGCCGTGCCGGATCCGGATCTTGTGATAAGAACCGGCGGAGGAGACCGGCTGAGTAATTTCATGACGTGGCAGACTTCGAAATCGCTACTTCATACTACGGCGGCTCTTTGGCCGGAGTTAGGTCTCTGGCATTTGGTTTGGGCCATTCTAAAATTCCAGAGACTGCAAGGTTACTTGCAAAAGAAGCAAAAGCTAGACTAAATAAACTCTAACATCAACTTCTAACCCTCACATGTTTCTTGCGGTATAAGATACCGTGAATCAAATTGAGAATACACAATAATTCCTTTTTATTATGTATTGGATCCAAATAACAAACAAGAAACACAAAACATCGATGATGTGATATAAAGATGCTGAAACACTAATTTTTTTTATAAACCGTGGAAGTTTCGAACGTTAAGCTTTTCGGTTCTGAAAGAATTAACCTTTTGTACCCGTGACACAAGGGAACTACCACTTAAACACTAAAGGCTTCATATTGTTCTTTTTAGGTGTTGAGCAATGTTCCTCCGGCAGTACAGTCCTAGCAGTGAATTCGTTTGTCAAACACGATGCTTGTTTCTCTCAGAACCTCTCACACGATTTATGAGCTCTACAATTTCTCTCTTATGATAGCCAACCCTAGACCTTCTATAAAAAAAAAAAAACCCTAAAGTATTAGCCTCCTATTTTATATATACTCCCACGACGAGAATCAAAATTCAATCGAATTTAACAACCAGATTCTCCAAATCGATCTTCAAAATTTCCCTTTGCGCCATGTTATATGCACCAAGCACCATGTCATCACCAGAGATACTTCATGTCTCTGGCACAGCTACACCACATCTCATCTTTGTGCTAAGCAAGCCACTTCATGCCTTCAACACAATTTTTACTCCACCAGCTTCGTGTTCTACCACACTAGCGTTGTATCTAACAACAACTATGCACAGACTCCTCATGTGCTCACAACTATGTTGGTGTCAATACATTCGTGTATTCCAGCAAGTCCGAGTATATGACAACAGTCTACATACTTTTATAAAAGTCTTTCCATGTGTATTTTTTTCATGATATTCTAGGAGTTTTAGGCTTTTTTGGCCAGAAATAAGAGCAGGTTTAAATTTTTCCCATTTCTAACATTCAAACCTGAGACTTGAGAGCTATTGGCTCTGGGTGTCTTTCCATGTTGGTTCTAAATTGTGTGAAGTTGAGATT